CTCTTGGCGTCTCCAATTCTAGAAGATAGATGATAATGTTTTTCCACTTTCTTTTATGTACATATATATATACGTGTACATACTACATACATATATAAATATAAATATATATATATATATATATATATACATACACACATAAGATTTTCTTTGACATAAATTTAGCATTTGCACGTACACAGTAAAAGCTCCATATATATTTATTACCCTTAATATATATAGATATGTGTGCGTGTGTTCGTGAATCATGATTATGTATATATAACTGCGGTGTGTTTACGTGCGGTACTTAATTAAGAAGGCAAAGGCCATTTTGCTTTTTAGCTAGCATCAGCCACCCAGAATGCAATGAGCCCGCGAACTGACGTGTGGTCAACCGTCTAATATTCCTTTAACTTGACAATTCTCCGGTTTGGACTTTCATACTGGTACCTTTTTTGTTTTTTTTTTTGTTTTTCCCTCCCTTTTTGTCCTTTGCACTGGACTTGAAATAGAGTCAAGTCTTCGACGTTACGTGTCTTGCAGCATCCGCCGTCGATCTGGGTGTAATAACTATAACAACCAATGCTGGTAACATAAAATAATGGATTGTAATTTTTAAAAAATTTGAGGCCTGTTCATTTCACCGATTTGAATTTTGTTATAATAAAAATTTCTCAGAAATAGTTATATATAATTTTTTTTATATTACAGTAAAAAATTCTCATATAAAGTCACATTTTAATTCGAATCAGTGAACTAAACGGGCCTTCAATTTTGAGATTGAAAATTATTATTCAAAGAAAAATATCTAACGATACTACCGGTGCTAAATAGTAAATACTATATTAATGGAAGGTGTCCTCTATCTCTAAGCTCCATGTTACCTAACACAACTTGTTGTTAGTAAATATTGAGCAATACCGCACTCAATAATATTGTTCTTGATTGTCTGAAAAATACAAATTCAGATAATTGAAGTGGTATGTGAAGGAGATTGTCTCTCTGTTATAGATGCCTAGAATAGGAGATTGTTACCTAATTTGAAGTTCGGTTCTATCGTAGAACATGTGGCCATCTGATCTACCGCTTCTTGTCTAGCTTCATGTAGCTCATTTTGGGATTCTGGAGATTCAAAGTTGGGAAATTGTAAAAGATAGGCCTACATTCATATAACTCATTTTGGGAATTTATTTCCTTCTTTTTTTTTTTTTTTTTTCCTCTTTTCCTCTTGATTTCCTTTTCTCTCCCCTCTCTATCTAACGACCATGGGTACGTTCTTCTTGATCTCTTATCGCTTCTTTCTCTCTCATTGTTGCTCGTTTTGCCTTCCAATCGTTGTCCCTGGAGATCACGAATTACAATTTTAAAAGTGTAAGCAATGTAAGGATAATTATAATCATTCTTTTGTTAAAATATGCAATGACTAAATTTGTTACTGGATTATATTAACTTTGCTAATATAAGATAAAAAAAATTTTAGTTTTGCTCATAAATTTAGGATATATCGCGTAAATTCAGGATTTACCATCAGAACAAAAATTGTGTTTCTTCGTAAATCATAGATTTATAGTGTAAATCTAAAATTTTCCACCATAGCACAATTTTTGTTCTTTTATAAATTAGAATTTACCATCATAACATAGATTGTGTTAATTAGTGTAAATTGAGGATTTACAAAATATATATATATATATATATTATGTTGGTGAATTATCGATTTACAATGTATGTGGCTTATAATCTAACAGTTAGCTCTTTAAATATTAATCGATCCACAACTAGTAAAGCTAAATGACGAAGAAAAAAAAGAAATAATATATGTCCTTCTTTTTGAAGAAAGAAGAACATAAGAAAGAAGAAAAAAGAAAAGAAGGTGACAGCAATAGTAGCTAGAGTTTCAGCTACGATTTTCTACGATTGTATAAAAACATGTGGGAATGAGAGAAAAATCACAAGAAGATACTGCGAAATTACTGTAAGATTTGCATGATGGCACGAGATTTCTAGGCGCAATGAGAGAGAGATAGAGAGAGGAGAGAGAAAGCTAGAGCTAAAGTTGAGAAGAGAGAGTGGGAGAACAAGTGGGGGAAGAAAGAGTCTAGAGAGAGCAATAGTATATTTTAGGGTTTCATTTTCTTTTTAATCAAGAGCATTTAAGAATGTTAATTTAGTGTAAATTCGGATCAAAACCCATGAGACCTATTTACTAACTAAGTATCAACCTTGGCCTGTTTATTTTTTTTGCTCTTTTAATCAAGTCTATTTCTTAGGATTCGTTTAGTATAAGGATTGAAATCAAGGTGATTGAGATCATTTTGATTAGAATCATGATTCATGGTGATTGGAACCTTTATTTGGATGTTTATAGAAATGATTCTGATTCTAAGCTGAAATGTGATTCGAACTAATATTTGATTGTTTTCTTTCTGATTTAGAACTATGCCAAAAATAAAAGAACCAATTATGTTAGTTTCACTTGTCGCTTCTAAGCAATGACAAATTCTACCTCCTACAATCTATATATCCAAATAATTAAACATGGTAGGACCCATGGTACTTTTGTCTTCTTCTTTTGCCGTTCTCTCTTATAAAACGGCCAGTTTATCCATTTTCCCCTCTTTTATATCCTTGCAATTTTCACTTCATCCAAGCAAAGAGAATTTTTCATTTTTGGTTCTTAGTTGTGGGAACTTGTTTTTTCTTTTTTCTTTTTTTTTTTCATGTCTCTACTTTGTTTATTGTTACTTGAATTTTTATATAAAAAGAAAAATTCTTTGATGCTTATATTTGTCCACTATACCATATTTCTATAATCAAAATTCAAAACGAAAAAGATTTAAATATATATATTTGAAAAATAGAGATCATGTGTATCATTCCATCTCTCGTTTTTTTCATCGATGACAGAAATTCGTAAACCTACCAACAAAATAGAAAGGACCTGGCCCAGCTCTTTTTTAAAAGGTAAAAATTACATGACATGACCTCTTTTTAGTGTTGAATTAAAATGTGGCTTAGTTTTACAAATATCACTTACCTGATTTTTTGAATTATATTTATTGACACCCAAAAAATACACCTTCAATTGATTTTGTTGTGCTTTTATTTATAACTAACTTCCATATTTTCCTCATAATTAAATTGTTAAGAAAATATCTAACAGATTCATCTAAGTTTTAAATTACTCTTAACATGATTATACTGGATTCTTTTAAAAATTTTAAAATTTAAATGATTATCCTCTAATTCATCTAACTTTTAACGTTTTTCAATTACATTGCTTCCTGCAGTATTTTTAGAGGCTATTGAGTTTTGAGATTCGTACAAGTTTTTCTTTTTTTCCTTCAATTTGTTTTTACATATATATCATATCTCATATATATTGCCATGTCTTGTTATTGTTTAATCTCTTGTTATAGTTTTTTTTTTTTGAAATGGATAATAGTTTTGTATCTATAATGATATATGTTTTCTCTTTTTGCCTTTAATTTAGGTGTGCATTGTTATGTTTAATGATATTGACTTTATTTTAATAACATGGTTTTGCGTACATATATAACGAGGTTTTTTATTATATCTATGGCTATTTGTATGTTCCTTTGTTGATTTTGCATATATATTTTTTGATCATTTTTATAATGAAATTGTTTGTATATTAATAACATGGGCTAGAACAATTCATTGTTAGGATGGGGTACTAATACTTACAGTGTTTTAGTCGTTTTGATAATGACGTTGCTTGTATTTTAATGATATGGACTATAACAATTGTTTGTCATGAACAACCATACTGATATTTCTTTTGATTGTATTTATAATGATATTGCTTATATTTTAATTACATGAGCTAGAAAGATTTTGATAGATTTAAAATATTATATACTGATATCAGTTTTTTTTAGGCTTGATTAGTTAAAATCTAGTTAATTAAATTTACTAATTGCAACTGTTTGAGGGTTTGAATTTTAAAACTTATAAACTCATATATCGTGAAGGGCAACTTAATTAATTTGTGATTTAATGATACCTCAATTCTTTTATTTTAGGAATTTGAATTTTTTAAAAAGGTAGATATCCCACAAAATATGGGAAAAAAGTAGAGCAATATTTTAATTACGTTAAAACCTAATATATCATTATAAGATCAATAATTTAATTAGATAATACATTATTTAAATATCATTATACAATTAAGCTATTAATGAGATATTTTTAAACATAAATCACATTTTAATTCCAGAGTTGTAATTCAGCCATCCTTTTAAAAATGGGCTCATTTTACTCATTGCTACCGCAAGTTGGACTCTTCATAATCTGACATTAACCTGATAAAGATATTAAGAGTCAGTTTAATTCACTAATTTAAATTAATATATAATTTTATGTGAGAATTTTTTATTGTAATAAAAAAATTAGATGTCACTATCTTTAAAAATATTTTACTGTAATAAAATTTAAATTTTAATTTAAATTAACGAAATGTTACGTGATCCGTGGACTGAAACTCATGGGAGCAGCACTCTTTACCGGGCGCTTTCAGTTGCAGGGGAAAATAAGAATCGAATAGGAAAAGAATAAACGATATTGATCGGCAATCAACATTAGGAACTTTTGAGGCGAAGGACAAAAAGTCAAAATTGTGTACGTGTAGCCTGCCCAAGTTGAACATGAACTTTTGAACTTTGATCGTGTCAAATTCTCTATTGCCTCCAATATTATTCATCACCAAAATAATGACAATTTCACAAATCCCGACAAGTTTCTTTTGATTTTATCCGTTACGCTTTTTTTATTATTATTATTTTTTTCAAATCGACAAATACCACCTACTACACACACACACACACATATACTTATATATATATATATTTATCCACGATCTCTTCATCTTCATTTACTTGAGAGACAAATCGACAAATACCACCTACTACACACACACACACACATATATGTGTGTCTATATATATATATTTATCCACGATCTCTTCATCTTCATTTACTTGAGAGAAACAGAAAGACGGAAGAAGGGAGACATAAGACAGAGAAATAGAAAAGCAGAGCAAAAATGGTCAACATTTTCACAATACACAACACCTTACTTGGCTTCGTTATGAAGCTAGCAGGTATGAGACCCCAAAGGGTGGAAATCTCACCAGGAACCATAATAAACTTCTGGGTACCAACCCAAACTCAAACCCAAACCAAAACCCGAACCAACCTGAAGAAAAACGTGGTCTTTCTCCACGGTTTCGCGGGGAATGGCATATTCACATGGCAACTTCAAGTCTTGGCATTAGCCAAAAAGTACTCAATTTACGTCCCCGATTTCCTCTTTTTCGGGGACTCCATTACCGACCGCGCAGACCGGTCGCCGGAGTTCCAAGCCGAGTGCGTGGCCAAGGGGTTGAAGAAGCTCGGAGTTGAGACGTGCACGCTTGTCGGGTTGAGCTACGGAGGCATGGTTGGGTTCAAGATGGCTCAGTTGTTCCCGAACCTGGTCGAGTCAATGGTGGTGAGTTGCTCGGTCATGGCATTGACCGAGTCGGTCAGCTCCGAGTCGCTTCGGAGGATCGGGTTCGAGACATGGTCGGATTTTTTGCTTCCTGAGACAGTTGAGGGTGTAAAAGCCATGTTTGATGTTGGTAGCTACAAGCTTCCAAACGTCCCCGATTGGCTCTTCAAACACTTTTTGGAGGTAATTAATTTGTAATACTCGAAAGCTTTTAATTGTTGAATTATTTGTTTGGTAAGCCTAAAAGCAAATATCAAACGAGATTTTTTTGCTATTGAAAATGGAATATTGATTAACTTCAGAGTCGCTATTCAATTATTATATATGTCAATTTGTAATATACCAAAATGAGAAAGGTTGTGCAATAAGCATGACATTGACGGGCAGTTAATGAACATTTTATTTATTTATTTATTTATTTTTTTAGAATAATGAAAATTTTAGTTTTAAGTTTACATCAAATTTTTTTTTTTTTTTTCATTCCAGTAATTTACTTAAGAATGGATCTTAGATAGTGTCAGTGGGTCAGTTGCCCCCATTGATCTCCGCCTTTTTTTTCCTTTTTTTGAATATACCCCCTATATATACATATGTAGTTTAAATTTGCCGCCCCCATTAAGAATAGACTTCCTCATTACATTATTTTTATTTTCTTTATAACTGCATATCGTTTGTTTGTGTCCCTCTCCTTTTATAAGCTTTTCCTTTCACTAATTTTAATAACAAATTTTTACACAATTAATTGTGAAGAATATCTTTATTACTTTTACACGGTAATTATATATAACAATGCTTGATGTGCGGATATATAATAATGTTGTGTGAAAGTGTGAATACAATTACAAATATATATCTTGAATACTATAGTTGTATAACTAACTAATTAAAAGCCGTGCCGTTGACTATTATTATAAAACGAGTTTTTATTTTATTTTATAATAAAACAAGTTAGTTCAAAGAATTTATCAGTTGGGGTGGTAATTCGTGTCACGTGTCATGTTCGTATCATATTTTGATCTTTTTTTTAATTTACAGTCAACTTGAACACGACTCGTGACACGAAATTTTTAAAAACCGCAACATGAACACGACACGATCACTTTACGGGTTGACACGACATGATACGAAAATGACTCTTGACATGAAATTGACCCGTGAACCCGAATTGACATGAAATTTGTATATTTTTATTTAGTTTTTTACATATTAAAAATAACTTAAAATTCATAACACACTAAAATACAATAACATCTATTAAACTTAAGCAAATAATAGTATAAGATTTTGAGTATAACTATTATGATATCATAAATTCATAATAAAATAAAAAATATGCAATGAAAAAAATATGTATTTTTTAGTTTTTTATGAGTTTCGTGTCAAGTTTGGGTTAGGCGGATCTAACCCAAAATTGAACTGTGTTTTTTGTGTCAATTTTAGATCGACCTAATTTTAGCTCAAACTTCTTTACTCTCAACCCTAACTCGTGAAATTCATATCATTTTCGAATCGTATTATCGTATGGCAACTTATAATATCCACCCTATTTATCAGTAATTCAAACACTGCAATGGACTTGAAAAAGTTTACAACAATAGTTCAAAAGAATAAATAAAAGAAGTTTACGTCAAGAATAGTTACTTCATTTATATATATATATATATATATATATATATATAGTTTGTAACTATTGTAATTAAGTCATTTCGTCAAGTGGTGGCAGGTAATGTTCAGCAACCGAAAGGAGAGGAAAGAGCTTCTAGAAGCCCTGGTTGTCTGCGACAAAGACTTTAATGTTCCTCAATATCCACAGGTTTGATTTTTTTTTCTTTTTTTATTTTAGAGAAAATTATAGAGTTAATTTTGATCTGGAGATAAGACACAAAGAATTTTTTTTTTTTTTTTTTCAATTTTGCTGAACACAAAGTAATTGATTTTGTAAGTATTAGGGCTTGTTTATTTGTACTCAAATTCAAAAAAAGTTTAAACTCAAATTATAATTTTATTCAAATTTATGGACTTTTATAAAATTTGAGTTTGAAGTTGAGTTTTAACTTAAATTTTAACTTGAGTTTGAGGTTAAAATCTGAGTTCAAGTTTCCCCTTCAACTTAAGTTCTTAAACTCAAACTCAAGTTAATGAACAATATTTTTTATATTATAAAAATACTATAATTTTTTCATTTTAATTATGATTGAGATGATTCTTTTTTTATGTGTCCACAACGAAAAGACGAATAAAATCTCTCTCATACACTCTATTAAAATTTTTCATCATCATTGAGTTTTTATTAATATACTATCTAAATACAAACTCAAGTTTTGACTCACCCTAACACAAGTTCAAAAAGATTTTCATCTCAAATTATAACTCAAATGTACACAACTAAACACAAACTCAAGTTACGACTTTAACTCAAGTTATAACTCAAAATCTACACTCAAGTCACCATAACTCAAAAATGCAACTCAACAAGCTCTTAAAAAAAGTTGGGATCCACGTCTTAAATGTCATCAACTATATACTTGATTTCACATTTGCTAATTACTGCTTAATTTCTTGTGACTTTTATCATTAGGTTTTTGCATAAGATGATTTTTTGAATACTTTCATGTTCTGTCGAGGTTGGAAAAATAATCAGCTTGTTAATTATTTCTTCTTTGTGCAGAGGGTTGGTCTTTTGTGGGGGCAAAATGACAAGATATTCAACATGGAAACTGCCAGCAATTTGAAGAAGTATGTCTTCATATCTTACGTATAATCTCCTCTAAAACATTAATATATAGAAGCATTGGCACCTTTCGTGCAATACTTAATGAAAAGTTAGAAGTGCCACTAGGAGTTTAAACTTTGATGACACATGTATTCATTCTGACACCTTTCATTAAAAAAGTAAAGATAATAAGTATACAAGTAATGTATTCAGCAAAAAAGAAGTATACAAGTAATGTGGGTGTGAAAAAAAAAAAGAAAGGCAGTCATATATATGTCAGAATAAAACTCTCATGTACATGTAGAATAAAACTCGACTACATGGACGGAGCCACACTATAACTAGTAGGGGCTCCACTCACATGTTTTGTTCTTTTACAAAGTGTCCTATATTCTTATTATTTTTAACAATTTGCCCCCACAACAAATGATGAAAAAAAAAAACCCCATTTTAGCACCCTCAAATCTTCATATATTTTAATTAGATCCCACAAAAATTGAGAAAAAAAATTTAATTAATTTACCCCTACTCAAATCTATATAAATTTACATTAAATCAAATGTAGCCCCTCAATATATATATATATATATATATATATATTGTCTCACCAAAATAGTTAGAAAAAGTTTTAAACCTCCACCCAATAAAAATTCTACCTCGGTCATTGATTAAATAGATAAGTGAGATTCACACCTAGGACTTATCATTATATGAGTAATGAAGATTCATCCCATAATGAATCTCATTTTGCTGTGGAAAATAAAATGAACATCATGATGTGTGTTGGAAAAATGGTTTATTCAGCCATTTTAAAGGCCCATTTTGAGGCTCATATTTAGATAGGACCCAATAGGTTTTTGGGACGGGTCTCGATGGATTTGCGTTCTCTGTTGCGAGGAGATCGAAATCGAGTATTCATACACTCAAAATGGTTTTTGGGTGAATGAGAAATTGATAGTCTAAGTATGGTACTTGAAATGATAAATGTAGAAAAAAATTACAAAAATCCCACATTGGCTAGGAGTGAAGCCAATATGGTGTTTATGAGTGATTGGACTTTGAAGCCTAGGCAAGCATGTCTACCAGAGACGCTCTCTCACGCACAGGGGGGTGCGAATCACGGTCCCGGCGGGTTTGGGGCCTAATGTCTGCGCCTGCGACCTGCAGACACGAATGCCGGACCAAGAAACCCGCTCCGTGTGAGCTTGCTTTTGCAATTTTTATGAAGTGGATGCTCAAGCATTCCACGCGATTGATGCATGAAACCATTCTGACTTTCTGTGTCGGAACTATGTGCTTAACGGCTTGGTTGATGGGCTTTACAATGTGTATAGCTCAAAGAAAACAGCCAAAGAATTATGAGAATTTTTGGACCAGAAATATAAGTCCAAGGACGCGGGTGCTAAGAAGTTCTTAGTGGGCCAATTCCTGAATTATAAGATGGTGGACTCGAAAACTGTCATTAGTCAAGTTCAAGAGCTGCAATTGATAACTCACGAAATACATGCTGAGGGAATGGCCATTAGTGAATCCTTTCAGGTAGCTGCGCTGGTTGATAAGCTACCCCTCCTGGAAGGAATTCAAGAGCTATCTGATGCACAAGAGGAAAGAGATGACCGTTGAGCAATTGGTTGTCAGGCTTCGCATCGAAGAAGACAATAGGCGGACTGAGAAGAAGTTCTCCAATGCAACCGCAAGCTCTGCTAAGGCTAATGTGGTAGAGCATGATAGCTCCAAAAAGAAAGGAAAGCCCGGATCCAAGTTGGGACCAAAGGGAGGAATTGTCAAGAAGAAATTCCAAGGAAAGTGCTTCAATTGCAACTAGGTTGGGCACAAATCGGCGGATTGCAGGCTGCCAAAATGAAATAAAGATAAGGAGGTTAATGCTGTGGACACCATTTACAAAGAAGTGTCCGACATTAGCTTGTCTGCTGTGGTCTCTGAAGAAAACTTCATCGACTCCAATCCAAAGGAGTGGTGGCTCGATATTGGGGCTACAAGACACATCTGCTGTGACCGGGCTAGGTTGGGCACAAATCGGCGGATTGCAGGCTGCCAAAATGAAATAAAGATAAGGAGGTTAATGCTGTGGACACCATTTACAAAGAAGTGTCCGACATTAGCTTGTCTGCTGTGGTCTCTGAAGAAAACTTCATCGACTCCAATCCAAAGGAGTGGTGGCTCGATATTGGGGCTACAAGACACATCTGCTGTGACCGGGCTGAGTTTGTTGATCTAGTTTCGTTGGAAACTGGAGAGAAGCTCTTCATGGGCAACTCTGCAACTTCTGTGATCAAGGGCCAAGGAACGGTATTCTTGAAGATGACCTTGGGCAAGAAAGTGAAGCTCCACAACGTGCTTTATGTTCCCGACATCCGGAAGAATCTCATATCCAAGACAATACTGAGCATGCACAGCTTCAGGATGGTGTTTGAAGCCAATAAGATAGTTTTGTCCAACATGAGAATGTATGTGGGAAGGGGTTATGTAAAAAGTAGCATGTGGAAAATGAATGCCATATCTGTAAAACCCAAGAAGATGAATAAAAAGAAAGAGTCTTCCGTTTATATGCTTGAGTCTTCTAACTTATAGCATGGTAGACTAAGACATGTTAATTATGATACTTTGCGTAGATTAATTAACTTGGATCACATTCCCACATTTCATATCGATTCCAAACATAAATGTGAAATTTGTGTAGAGGCAAAACTAACAAGGTCATCATTCCAAACAATAGAAAGGAATACTGAGCCACTTGATTTAATACATAGTGATGTTTGTGACTTAAAGTTTGTTCAAACTATAGGTGGTAATAAGTATTTTATCACTTTCATTGATGATAGCACAAAGTATTGCTATGTATATTTGCTGAAAAGCAAAGATGAAGCTGTAGAGAAATTTACTCTCTACAAGCAAGAAGTTGAAAACCAACTTAATAAAAAGATTAAGATGGTAAGAAGTGACTGAGGTGGTGAATATGTTGAACCATTTAGTGCACTTTGTGCACAACATGGAATTATTTACGAAGTCACACCTCCATATTCTCCCCAATCGAATGGCATTGTTGAACGAAAAAATCATACCATAAAGGATATGATGAATGCAATGTTAATAAGTTCTGGGTTGCCACAGAACATGTGGGGGGAAGCCATTTTATCGGCTAATTACCTTTTAAATAAGGTTCCGTGTAAAGAAAGTCAATAAAACCCCCTATGAATTCTGGAAAGGAAGGAAGCCTTCCTACAAATACTTGAAAGTGTGGAGCTGTTTGGTCAAGGTAATGGCACCAACACCAAAGAAGATGAAGATAAGTCCGAAAACGGTTGATTGTATCTTCATTGGGTATGCTCATAACAGTACCGCATATCGGTTCCTTGTGCACGAGTCTAAAAACCCTGACATACATAAGAACACGATAATAAAGTCTAGGAATGCATCATTCTTTGAACATGTATTTCCATGTAAGACTAAGGAAGATGAGCCAAATTCATCAAAATGAACTTTTGATTCTATCATAGAAGATTGTAGTCAAAATTCTAAAAATGATGAAAATATTAAAACGGAGGAAGAGCCTAGACGAAGGAAGAGGGCAAGGATAGAAAAGTCTTTCGGACCGGATTTTCTAACTTATATGCTAGAGGCTGAACCTCAAACATATAAAAAAGCTATGAGCTCAACTGAGGGTCCTTTATGGAAAGAAGCCATAAAGAGTGAGATTGATTCCATCTTACAAAATTATACTTGGGAACTAGTAGACCTTCCACCAGGAAATAAACTACTAGGTTCTAAATGGATTTTTAAACGGAAAATGAAGACAGATGGAACAATTGACAAGTATAAGGCCAGACTAGTAATAAAAGGTTATAGACAACGAGAAGGCCTTGATTACTTTGACACGTATTCTCCTGTGACGAGACTAACATCTATAAGGATGATATTAGTGATTGCTGCACTGCGGAATCTTAAAGTTCATCAAATGGATGTGAAGACAACCTTTCTAAATGGAGATCTCGAAGAAAAAATCTACATGGAACAACTTGAGGGTTGTGTAGCAACAGGACAAGAGAAGAAAATTTGTGAATTGGTGAAGTCTTTGTACAGACTAGCATAAGAAATTTGACGATGTTATGTTGTCAAATGGATTCAAAATCAACGAGTGTGACAAATGTGTTTATGTCAAGAATACACATGATGGTTATGTCATTTTTTGTCTGTATGTAGATGACATAATAATTGTAGGTAGTAATGATTGGATTGTCATATCTACCAAACACTTGTTGAACTCAAGGTTTGACATGAAAGATATGGGACTGGCTGATGTGGTCTTGGGGATCAAAATCAAAAGGGTGCCTGATGGTCTTATATTAACTCAGTCACATTACGTGGATAAGATACTTGACAAGTTTAACAAAGATGATTCTAGTATAGCCAGAACTCCTATTGATATAAGTCAACATCTGTCTAAAAATAGAGGAGAAAGCATATCCCAGGTGGAGTATGCTAGAGTGATTGGCAGTCTTATGTACTTAATGAGCTGTACAAGATCAAATATTGCATTCACAGTAAGTAGATTGAGCGGATTCACGAGTAACCCAGGAAAGGACCACTGGAAAGCAATTATGAGAGTACTGAGGTACTTAAGATATACTCGTGAATATGGATTGCATTACACAAGAGAGCCTGGTGTTTTAGAAGGATACTCTGACGCGAGTTGGATATCTGATACACAGGACTCTAAGGCTACAAGTGGATATGTATTCACCTTGGGTGGTGCAGCTATTTCATGGAAATCCTCTAAGCAAACGATAATAACCAGATCCACGATGGAAGCCGAGTTTGTCGCATTGGATAAATGTGGCGAAGAAGCTGAATGTCTTAGACATTTCTTAGAGGACATTCTGGATTGGCCAAAGCCTGTACCTGCAATTTGCATACACAGCGATAGCCAATCAGCTATTGGTAGAGCACACAATACAATGTATAATGGTAAGTCTAGACATATACGTCGTCGACATAATACCATTAGACAATTGATCTCAATGGGAGTCATAGTCGTTGACTATATAAGGTCGAAAGATAATATTGCGGATCCGCTAACCAAATGACTGAATCGAGATCAAGTTGAAAAAACATCTAAAGGAATGGGATTGAAGCCCATGGAAAAATAGGTCGAAGCAATGGAAACCCAACCTAGCTGACTGGAGATCCCAAGATCTAGGTTCAATGGGACAACTAAATTGTCTAAACCGGTTAAGTTCACTATGGGGGTAACCCTAGCCTATTCCTATGATGATAACAACGAAACCCATACGAGAAAAGGTTAAACATTAGTTTTTAATGATTCTTATGCGTCGGATACGTCAGGAATCCGAGCGGAGTAATACGGGTTACTCTTCATTAAGAAATCACCTATGTGAGAGAGAAGCGGGGCCGATTCAAAGGAGAATTATGAGGGCTCAATTCTTTAGAAACTCTTGCAGAACCAGGTAGATGTTCATGGCCGAAACGAACATAACCATGTGAACAGAACTGTGTCAGGAAGATGTTTGTGTGAGGTATATTAACGTTTACACGAAGGTAGAACAGTTCAAGGACATCGCGTCTACTGGACAGCCAGTAAAGTTTATGTATTCTCACAAGGGAAGGTTCAAAGGGTAACGCCTACCTATCTTTTGCAGGCATCGACCACAGAACTCTATCACCGTGTCGAGTCTGTGTTTTTTCCTGTCGTTGGTCAATTTTCATTCATGTGGGGGATTATTGGAAAAATGGTTTATTAAGCCATTTTAAAGGCCCATTTTGAGGCCCATATTCAGATGGGGCCCAATAGGTTTTTGGGACGGGTCTCGATGGATTTGCACTCTCCGTCGTGAGGAGATTGAAATCGAGTATTCATACACTCAAAATGGTTTTTGGGTGAATGAGAAATTGATGGTCTAAGTATGGTACTTGAAATGATAAATGTAGAAGAAAAATTACAAAAATCCCACATTGGCTAGGAGTGAAGCCAATGTGGTGTTTATAAGTGATTGCACTTTGAAGCCTAGGTAAGCATGTATACCAAAGACGCTCTCTCACGCGCAGGGAGGGTGCGAATCACGATCCCGGCGAGTTTGGGGCCTAATGTGTGTGCCCGCGACCTGCGGACACGAATGTTGGACCAGGAAACCCGCTCCGTGCGAGCTTGCTTTTGCAATTTTTATTTTGCTTCCGCCAAGTCTTTCCAGCTTCTAGCCGTTTGGCCTTGCATAAAGTAGTGTTGGTTAATGAGTAGAATGGGGACTTAATGGTGATCAATGAAAGAAAAACGGGATTAAGCCAAGGTTAATACGTTTTTAAAGCTTTAGTTTTTCCATTATCAAAACCTGAATCTTTATGCAAAGTGTGGCCGGATTCATCATGGAATTCAAACCGTTTTACTGCAGAGTAATGGCAGGTTTTAACACCATTAATCCGGGATTAAATCTGGGTTGTAACACCTAGATTTTGGAGCCTATATAAGGGCCATCCTCCACATGAACAAAGCACTCATTTTTCAGAATTCTTCTTCTCATTCTCTCGGTTCTGTTTCTATCCCCGTGCTTTTTGTGCTTTGTGTTATTGTAGTTCGGTTTGGTGATAGAGGGAAGGTCCGAGTTCTTGTTCGTTGGACGGTTCCGATAGTGCATCGAGCTACCGTTGTTGTCGTTGTATCCTGGGAGATGGACGTCCTAAGTTGCCTCAAGCACTCACCGGAGGGGACGAATCTATTTTAAGGAAAACGTGGTTCACGTGCCTCGACTTTCTTTTAATTCCGGTTTTCCGAGTTTGGTAGGAAGGTTGAATTATTTTGTAACAATTTCGTTATTCTATTTTTCATTAGTCATTCTTGTTCTTCTTTGTATTGTCCATATCTTCTAACAATGTGTTGGTTTCTAGTATATAAAATTTATTTTTTTTTTGTTGAAATTTAAAATGTATTGTGTTTTTTGGTTAGGCTTGACTTGAACTGTGATTACTGTAGGCAACTGGGAGAGAGAGCAACACTGGAAAGCATAGAGAAGGCAGGTCATCTTGTTCAGCTGGAGAGGCCCTGCGTTTATAATGATCATCTCAAGAAAATTCTTTCCTCCTTGTTGGAAGACAAATAGGCCCCGCTGTAGTTAATATTGTGAATGCATACTTATCTTTGTAATTAATAAGCGTACATTAATTATTAGGTGTTTATTTTTATTATTTTTTATATAAGCTCTTACATCGTGACTTCTAATCTTTCTTTGATTTCTTTGTGAGATATTTATTGAAGGTCCTTCATTTATCTTCTTATTATAAAAATAGTCGTTGTGTTGAAATTTGTATCAAACTTAATCCCTATACTAAAAAACGTGTCGAATTAGTCTTTCTGTTAGTAAAATCTTCAAATTTTGTGGAAATAAAAAGCAGAGGCTTGCTAGTAGTATATTACGTAGTATGTCATCAAATCTAACGCTTTTATATTCATGTCATACGGAGTTGTCCAATTATCTTTGTTGAGAAGAAAAAAAATAATCTGATAGGACACTTTCATATCCTATAAGCATATTTTATGATAAATTAAGTGGTATAAATATTAAGTTCATGGTATTGAATGACATAAAATATAAAAAATAGCATTTGAGTGACGTTTTTGTATTTCTTCCTATCATAAGAACATATTTTGCGGTTTCATTCTAGATGCTAAAAAGTCCCAAAACAATAAAGAAGAAATACCAAAACAATGAAGTTGTTATGATTCTTCCATTAGAATTTCATACAATTTGGGGACGATTGATTCCCCTTTTATTTTCTCTTTTTTGTTATAGCTTTTGTACGCTTTTGAAAATTCTTTTTTTTTCTTCCATTAATAATAACAGAGTGGAGGTTTAATGTGTAACGGGGTTTTTTAAGGTGCCAATTAAATTGGAATATCTCAATTCTCTTTTGACGTCAATTGCTCTCTCTTTTATTTATTTCCTTAAAAGTAATTCAAAGGAAGAGAGGGAAAATAAAATAACATTTATTGGTTGGTAATTTGTTTTGCACATAGTGGCAGTTGTTTATGTAAAGACATGACAGTTATAAGCCTTTTATATATACGGCATAACACAGTGATGACGTCAATTACACTAAAAGAAATAGAGGAGAAATTATAAAAGAACAAAGAAAGAAAGAGTTGAGAGAGAAACATTAGAGATTCACATAAGTTCTGTAGGTGACATTGACCGATATTAGATAGCGTTTGCTTGGACTTTACTTGAGCTTCAGATATTTTAGAAGCCTGAGAAACAAGTAAGAAAGAAAGCAGCCTTAGCCAACGAAACATATCAAGAGTAGTATTGCAAAAAGAAATTCAATTTCAAAACTGTTGATACTAAGGGCAACGCGTTACAATAAATTCCACACGTGTCATCTTCAAGTTTAGAGTTAAAATCGAAGCCAAGAATTTTCATCAACGGGAACTAGTAATCTAAGGAAAAAAATTTAATAGTGACTATAGGATTAAATTTCTAACTTTTAATGGGGAGTTTATGAATATATTAATATTATCATATATATATATATATATCTGTGTATATATTTTTGAGAAAATCAAAATATTATATTGGAGCTTCAAGCCCGCCCAACTGTGCCGATATTCGCTACGCGGGTGGTTAAAATTCTCCTCTCAAATTTAAAAATAAATAAAAGAATCACTAGAATTCACCTTTTGGCCGTTGATGTAATGTTAGACTGATTTTACAAAATCTCAGTAACAGTAACGGACTTTTGCCGAAGAATTCTAATATAGGATTATCATATTACTGGATAAGATATGTGAGTCATTTTAGTTAGTGTTCTATTGCTCTCGTCCCACATTTGGCACAAAGGAATATGCCAATTATAGACGTGTCCTATTCAACTAATTTTCTCTTCTGCTCTCTCTTTCTTTCTCTCCTCTTTTTTTTTCTTTATTGAAAGGTACTTGTCAATAAAATATCAAATTCGAATTGTGCATGTTTAGCTTAGGGACAATGATAAAAAGGGGAATGAATAATAGATTCTTTTAAGCTCGAACGGATCATTTTATAAAAACCTGTCTAAGTGTGTGCTTAAAGAGAGTAAACTGAGGAATTAATGATATGTGCATGTATATAATATGTATATGTACACGTATCAAATTTCTTTATTTGGTATTTGCACTTTTGAATCAGAATATATTATTTATTTCGTTGAATATAAAATGGAAAGACATTACTATGACAATAAGATAGGCCAATTTATTTATTTATTTTTTTTGTTGAAAAAAATACCTAAACAACGAAATGAACTTGAGAAATGGCATGTTCTTTTGTCTAAAAAACCTCAAAAAAAGACAACTCGAGTTCCAACTTTATTCAAGTTCACGTTCTTTTAAGTTTCAACTTTATTCAACTTTATTCAGCTTTATTCAAATTACAACTTCAACTCAAATTATAACTCAAATTCAACTAAAAAATTATACTCAAGTTACACTCTAAAAGAACAACCCCAAAATAATCACCCGCTTTTCTGAAGGGACCGCAGGCCAAGCTCCCAAGAATTTTCTCCTTTTTTTAGTTAAAAAACATTAATCATGACTATATATATATATATATATTGAAATTCATGCCCTTATATATGTCTTATAATATGGGCTGCCTTAACCTTTGAAGATGGCGGCGCAGCGTGACTTTAGTATTTCCAACTTCAATTTTCTATTTTGGATATAGAATTGGATATGTTAAAAATGCAATCCATTTCTGGGCAATTTTAAGCCTTTACTTACACACATGTCGGTAGCTTCTTATAACCTATATATATATATATATATACACATACAGCTAAAAGTACACAAAGGCTATTTTTTCATACTAGCTAATCTATCAAGACTTTTAACTCCTTTAACTTGCGATCAGGCCAACTGGCTCCTAATCTACCCTTCCCCATGCTTAAAATTAACCAGCTTAATTTTAAAAAAAAAAATTTTAAAATGCATGCACGAACTAACTAAAATTAATATGCAGTGTAAAAAAAAAAAGTAATATAATTTTTAAGAATAATAAAGAGAAGTCAAGTCAACTATAGCATCAAGAAACTCGAATACATTCCAATTAGATTATATGATTAGAATATATTAATAAGCGAGTGAATATATTTGTAAATTATGTGTATATACCTTTCTTCTTCGTCGTGACCGGAAGATTTATAGTTGGGAATGGGAATACGACCAGACTCGATTTGCCTAAGATCCTCCAAGAGGACTTCGTAGTGTCTCTTGACCTCCTCGGGGGTCTTACCACCCACAGCCTTGGCCACATTCTGCCACCGGTCCGGGGTGTCCTTGTCGTACAAGGCTAGTGCTTTCTCAAACGACTTGTTCTGTTTTGGTGTCCAAGATGATGAGCTGTAGCTAATTTGCTTGCTTAGAGAGCTTGAAGCCATTTTTACGTGATGATATATGATTGTAACTAAAATATATATATATATATATGTATATGTATGTATATATATAATTGATGGAGAACAAAAAAGAAAAAGGTTATTATTAAAGGAGAAGAGAGGAAATCTTTAGAGAGCAAGCTGCTCAAAAGGAATTTGTGTAATTGTATGGTTTTTGTGCAAGAAATAGTGGTGAGGCTGTTCTGTTTTTATAAATGAGTTGGGGAAGGAAGATGATTGGCGAATCAAATTGGCCAAAAAGAAAAAAGGTGTTAAGTGAGGTGTGACTCGTTTCCTTTGGAACCACAAAATTGAAGCAGGCCTGAGGGATCAGGCGGAACCAGATACTTTGCAGGGTTTCTGATTTTTTCCTTGTTATTTTTCTTTCTCAATAATTAAAAAGGGAATTGCAAAAAGTACCTAATTTCCTTTAGGTATATTCCTTTTTCTAATTTCATGTATTTCAAATATATGAGAATACATGCAGTGTGAAATTATGTCTAGATAAATTATGCTCACCAAACTAGTATTTATTTTATAAAAACAAAAAAAAAATTAGTAGGTTGATTAAGCACTAATTGTACTTCATACAGAAAGAAACATAAAATAAAAATCAGAGATCAATTGAAAGTAGGATATATATTGTCATCCAGCGCTAGAATTAGTCCGCTGGGGTTCATGCAGATTCCCCACTCAACATTTATAGGGCATACAATAAATCTGAAAAGATAAGTACTATGTATTTATACCATCACATTAGCTTTTAACCTACAATCTTTTTTCTCTGAAGTGATTAGAACATCCCAATTAAGTTGACACTCCTTGATAAATTTATTCTATATCAAATTCACCCCTCTATATTTATCATAAAAAAGGAATAAAATACAAAAATTCAGAAAAAAAATCTAGTCAGATTGCTTACAAATACCAAAATCTAATCAAATGGCTTACAATGACCACTCAAACGATAATCATGAAATGAGTATCTTGTAGAAGGGATTTAATCATCTAGAAAGAGAAATAGAATATGACTCATTAAAAAAATAGGATAATATATTTTAAATTAAGGAAATACAAATACAAATTCCAACTCAAATGGCACAAACTATAAGAAAATCACAACCTGATAAATAACTGAATTCATTAACAAAATTGAATGAAGCGCTTAAGGGACAAACATGTGCCGAGATAATGTTTAAATTAATAGTAATATTATATGTTAAGAATGCTCAGTAATCGAGAGAGTGATGAGCCGGTGGTGATGAACACAGATTCATTGGGATTGATCAGAACAAACGGCCAAGAAAGGTGGCGTATTGGGGTTCCATGCAGATGCAGATAATTGTTTTTATTTGCGATTTTCTTCAGATCTTTGGAATTGGATTTTCGGATCTTTCTCTCTGGACAACAATCCAAAACCTTTTAGCTGGCCTAGCTTAGCTTTCTGCCTACCAGGCCCATGGATGCATATATCTGAAGCCGTACCATGATATCTACTATATACATATAACATACATTAACATATACATTTACATATACATATAAAATATATAAATATATACAGGTTGTTATTTCTGGTCATCTTTTTGGTCGAGTCAACAGGTTTCCACTGCTCGCATTGATTTAAGAAACGTTTGTTTTCTATATTCGTTTTTGATTCTGAATTATGATTCATAATTCTCTACAGTGTTTTTCTCTCACAAAAAATACACGTAAAATGTAAATAATTTTAAATTATAATTCTGAATACATACACTAAACGTCCTCTTATTTTTCGGTTGGGATCAGATAAAGATTTTTCGTCATCTAAATTCTAATTGGTGAGTCAGTGTAGCTAGTTGCTTCATCCAGAGCAGACTTTAGCACTGAACCATGCAGTTACGTCTGTTCTCTCTCTCTCTGTTTTCCCTTTACATACAGTGTCCCCCCCCCCCCACACAAGGAGAATAGTAAATAATTCTGGTTTGAATAATTAGGAAAAAAAATCCCACTAAAATCCTTTGATGCCTCAAAATTCTTTTAAAAAAAAAAATTCTACTAGACATCCATAAAATATCCAACTGATGCTGAATGATTCCAAGTAAAAAAGAAAAAGGAAAAAAAATGAAGTAAATAGTACATACCAAATTTTGTCCCATCAATAAGGTTCAAACCAACATTCAAGCTGAGAAAAACATTGTGGATGACCAGTTATAGAATATTGAGAAAAACATTGAACTCTAACCCGTATATTGTATCCCAACTGAAGGGGTGAAAGCTGACCAATCCGTAAAGTGTATCCGAAGTGTAAAAGTTGTGCCGACGGCCATTTTGTTTTCTTTCCTAGCTTCTTTTTTTTTTTTTCGTTTATTTTATATTTTCATTTTTGTTATTATTATTTTTGTTATATTCTTCCAATTCAGGCCATGTAAGCTGGGTGCAAGTCTTCTTATTGACAACCACAAGTGGCACAAAGATTGAGTGGTCCAGTAAGCTAGCTCCCTCATGATATCTCTCATCAAAGGAAGATTTCAAAAAATACGCAAAAACAATTTACAAAAGCCGGTCCCAACTTTTATTGGTTTGTGTCTGTGAAATAAAAATTAGAGAAGAAAATTAACAAAAGGTGAGAATACAAAGATTAATCGTGCTTCATCAATGTGTCTACGTTCACGGACTAAAAAAATGAAAAAAAATATATATATATTAATGGAGAGCACTATCATTCCAATATGTCGTCGTAAATAATCATTCCACCGCGTTTATTCTTGGTCAGATTTGTATGCTTATTTGCGACGACAAAGAGAACACATCGTCGCAAATAGAGTGATATTATTTACGACACATGTGTCGTCGCAACTAAAAAGATATTTGCGATGACAAGTTGTCGAAAAAATGGATTCCCTTTGGCAGTAAAAATCCACGCCATTAGAAATTGCACGCCTAAACTATTTGCGACGACATTAAACTTATTAACGATGACATGTTTAATTTATTTAACGGGGATTAATTACGATGACATGTCGTCGCAAATAATGAAATATTTGCGACGACATATGTCATCACAAATAATGTCGTCGCAAATGACCTATTATTGTAGTGATATACCGTCGCAAGTATAAGCAATCCATAAGAAGATTCCAATATTGACTCGTAATATAGAAAGAACTAGAATGGAAGTTGGTAACGGTGTTAGCATCAATGTGAGCCCGCAGGGTTAAGTGGGTCGTGGATTAGTAGGGTACATAATTTAATGATATTTATGTGATTAATCTTTTGTTTACATGGACTAATTTGTATTTCACGTTTCTTTAGAAAGCATATCATTTATTTTAGACCTCTTCAAATAATACCGGTGATCATCATTTTAAGTGTAACAAATTCACACCCCCTAAAAGGTCAACGCTTATTTTCACTAATTTGATACAAAAATTACATTGATAAAAAAGAAAATGAAAAATTCATTTAAGTAAATTCACGATGTGTAACTTGAGTTTGTTTTTTCAATTGTTTTGAATTTTTTCAATATTTTTTTCTCTTCTTTTTATTTTTCTCTTTTCTTATACTTTGACCATATTTTTAATAGTCAAAATTGAGTATCGACCGGTCTTGAATCTGTATTTGATACACATGAAAAAATGACTTGATACGTATTAAATGAGGTACAAAATAAAGGGTATACTTTCCGAATACATTCTATATATATCCCCCAAAAAAAAAAAGGAAAAAGTAGTGCTAAGTTGGTAACTGGGTGGGGTTTTATGCCAATAGATTGTACGGCTTATATACATTATAGAGCATGAAAGTGATACGACTAGTAGAAACATTGAATCGGGCATCCCAATTCGTTCTTTTCATGATTCTAGCCAATAATTAATTGGGAAATTCCCAATGGCCTACAGAAGTTGCTTTGTTGAAAATTTTGAATATTCTTGCAATCATGCCTCAAGCCTTGAGGTTCAGGACATTCTTCAAACAAGATTACATACAACTAACAACAACAACGTTACAATATTGTTTAGGTACCTAAGTTTTTTCTAACCATTTCCATTTTTGTGGTTACTCTTTCTTTCCATTAAAATCAAGCTAGAACTAAAACAAGAGGCACTCAATAAAACAGCAAATCATGAACTATTTTGATGACTCATAATTAATATCCAACCCCCCCTTTTTTTTTTTTTTTTTTTTGGAAAAAGTTCAAAGTGCAAGTAACTATATCTAGGAAGGGGTCCCAAGCAAACAAGTTGCCAATCATATTTAGTTGGGATTGACACATTATCATTTGGCATTGAATGGGGAAAGGTCTGGTGGATGATCATTGGAGAGAATTGGAAAGGTATAGCTTTGGTGTGAAAAAAGGCGGTCCTCTAAAGGATTCTTTGTTTGATATTTAGATTCATCGACGTATATCGCCTTATTACCAATCATAGGTGTGTGTGTGTGTATATATACATACATACATACATACATATATATATATATATATATATATATATATAATCTTCCTTTCATAGCTATAACGGATTTCCTCTTCATAGGGACGGCCCTTTCCTACGGCATAGTGGTCCTGCCAAATTATATACATTGGAAGGTCCTTAAAAGGATTGGTTTGGTATGATTGTGAATTTTTTCTTAAAAAAAATGATGATAATTCTAGTAATAATATTAAAGGAGACTATGACTTTCCAAAGAGCTCAAAGAATTTTACTAGTCTAGCTACATATATACCACAAACATCTCTGGTCCATGCATTAATCACTACGAAAAAGAATATATAAGATTCCAGATATACTGAGAATCTTTGATTCAAAAGATCAGATAAAGGAAAGGAAAAGGGCTTGCAAAATGATCTATTTTTCTAGTCTCTTTTTCTTTTCTTTTTTTTTTTTGTTTTTCCTCTTTTTTGTTGTTCTTTCGGTGATTGTATTTGTACGCTATCTGCTAGTTGATGAAGAGATAAGCCGATAGATGCACGAGTAGTCTTGAATACCAATCAATATTGAGAGAATTATGCTGCTCCGAACATCCACTTCATTGGTCTCACTAGATATTTGTCTCCAACGTCTTGGAAGATATAACTTACAACTTATGACA